ACTGCTTTGATTTTCCATAAACTTCATGTGCTCTTTCTGAATCAGCATTAAAGGCAGATTTAAGAGGTGTTTTAGTTCTTTCCTAAGATGTGAGAGATTTCTGAAAGAGTAAGAAAGTGGTAAGAGATCCTTGACAGAATGAAAATCATTTTAGGGGACTGAAAATATTTAAGGTCGAATAAACCTATCCTATTTAAGGTTTTTTCCCAAGTGGGTTCACTTTATTTCCTGTCTTCTGTTTTTGTAACAATAACTCAATAAAACAAATATTTGCTTTGCACCACTATGTGCCAGGTATTGTGCCATATACACTTAGGAGAAATGAGAACACATAAAACACAGAAACACACAGCTTTGATTCTATGTCTGATGGCTTTCTATTTTAATCTAATTACATGTTTATTTCACAGCTATTGGGGACCTGCTATATGCCAGGCCCTGTGAAATGTGGGGGATACAGAGATGAGTCTGGTCCTCTAGGAGGGTGCACACTGGAGACTGACCAATAAATGGGCCATTACAATAGGGTGCCTGGACTCTTCCTGTGACAAGGAAGAAGAGTCCATGGTGTTATGGGAGGGATTAGAGACTGCAGAGCTCTGACTAGCAGGGCAGGAAAGGCTTCCTGAGGAGGCAATAGCTGAGCCAAGTCACATACAGTAGGGGATGCATCGAGGGAGGATTGTGTACAAAGAGAAGTGCAGTGCATTCAAAAACCTATTTTTAGTGCACTGATGGGATAGAGTGGAGTCTAGTGAGGGAAGTCTTTCAGAAAGGAGAGTTTGGACAGATATTTAAAGCAAGGGAAAGAGGCAGGGTGATTAACATTCAAAAAGACACCCAGTGGAAGAAGCAGGTTGTGTGTAAGGCATACAATATACTGGGTAAGGCAATCATATACTGGACCAGAGAAGAATCACAGTATCCAAGCGGCGAGCAATAATAAAGATGCTAAAAACCAGGCAGAGGGAGAGGGATCCAGTGAATGGATGTGGAGAACAGGTGAAGTGAAGAATTTGAAAAGGACCAGGAATTGGAGACACCAGATATATGCCACCTCTGGATTCTGGCACAAGATAGGCTTACTCTCTGCAGAAGCTCTGGACTCACACACACCAGGGAGTGGGGAAAAGGACCAAAACCAAGTGTAGTGATGATGAAATCTCCACTTTCCTTCTCTGATTGCACTTCCAGAATGCTACCAGCAATTGTTTTACCCTCCGGACAGGACCCTGGAGGATTCTTCTCTAGGACAGTATTCCATAAATACTATACATTTTGATAAATACTTATTAAATATAAAAGATAAAGTCTTTCTGGAAATGCTTCTTTTAATGAGGTGAATGGCTCCCTCCCACCTTAATTTATATATTCATGAATTAATAATTCTTATTTCTAGAAAGACACAGGATTCCACATCTTTTAATCCTAGTTCTTGCTTTTACAGACATAAATGTTGAGAAAATTTGTTTGCATAAATAAATGGTTATGAATGGAAGGGATTTTTTATATCACTGAAATTCCTTCTGAATTAAACACCAAAAATTACACACTGATCTACCATTAAATATTATTTTAATGACTTATCAGTTAACAACTCAACGAGGTTAATTTTATTGCAAGCAAATAATTGGAAACCTGATTTGGATCGGCTTTGTTACCCAGTTATTGGAACCATTACTGTAACTGTCACCTTTTCACTTGGAGGTGCTTTGTCTAACTCATTTACTCAGAAAGGGTTAGGAAAATAAAAATGTTAATTATATATACTTTGCCTGTATAATTATTTTTGATAAAAATGTTACTTCCATATTTTGATAGATTTCTTTCATGGTGAGAAGCCTTGACATGAAAGAAAGTGCCATATAGCCATGGATGTTTCTTATGAAAGCTCTTTGCTTTGTCCTCAGGAGCTATTCCTTAAGAGCTCTGCATTTTTTTTTTTTGTAATTGTGAGGAGTGGAACAGACAAAATCCTTAAATAAAACTAGTATTTAGAAATGCCCTTTTGTTGGCATCCTGAAGATATTTACACCCTGGGGCAATAAGCCGTATTTCTATTGCAATACTAGGGAGATGCTCCTTTTCTATAGTGGGAAAAGGGCAATTGTGAATGTAGAGGTAAGAAGTAAGAACCAGCATTGAGCTGCTTCACAAGTACTGTTAATAAAGATACATTCATATGGGAATTAATGACCTGGAAAATGATTCCCTTAAACTATTTGTGCCTTTGTACCTCTTGGAAGAGATACATGCACACATCTCAGTTGGAAGACCACTGATCCACACCAAGTAAGTGGAAAACATTGCATCCAGGAAGCTGGGGATTGTCACAGGGTAACGAGAAGGATGAGCGGCACGCCTAGAGAGCAGTCACTCCAGAATGCAGTTACAGCAGTGGTCCCCAACCTTTTTGGCACCAGGGACCAGTATCGTGGAAGACAGTTTTTCCACGAATGAGGCAGGGGGATGGCTTTGGGATGATCCAAGAGCATTACGTTTATTGTGCACTTTATTTCTATTATTATTACATCAGCTCCACCTCAGATAATCAGGCCTCAGATCCTAGAGGTTGGGGACCCCTGAATTAAGAGGATGGAGGACATCAGAACTGATGCCTCCAAGAAGAAAATGAAACTGATAGATTAGCTGATCTATTTGATGGTACTGAGCAAGATTTTAGATCTTTGTTGAAGTTTAGGGGTTTCACTCTTCACCATGACTTATTGATGACCTTGGTAAACCTTAGTGGTTAGCCAGCTAAGAAAACAAATATGGTATAAGAGAGGGGCTATGTATAAGATGACATGGTATTTTATTAGAAATAGATATACCCCAAAGGTAGAAAGTAGTAGTAATAAAAATGGGTAGTAGTACATCAAGACAAATATCTCCTGTTTTGTGAACAGAGGATGTGACAATCAGTTACGATTGCTGTGGTGTGTATAGTCTTGAGAGGGAGGCATGGCTCAGTTCATTACAGGGTGATCGTGCAGAGGAACCCAAACATGAACTTTGATGAACTCTGCAAAACTGGTGCCATTAGTCTACAATCCATGTATTCCTTACTTTTTTTAGATATGAATTTTTTTTTTTCAAAGGCTGGATTCTGAACTACCTGCATTAAAATCACCTAATTTGCCTGTTAAAAATACAAAATCCCGGCCCTATGTCATATAATAGGGTTGGCCAAAAAGTTCATTCTGCCTTTTCCATAAGACTTCATGGGAAAAACCAAAGAAACCTTTTGGCCAACCCAATACATAGAATTGAGTGAAGGGGGCAGAAGAAATTTCAGTCTTTGCATTTTAAATAAACACTTCAGAGGAGTTTCAGGCATTTTTGAGTTTGAAAGTCATTTCTTTGAGTTCTTAAATGAAGGTGCTAATTAACTAACTCAAAGTTGGATCTCTTTCCTACTCTATGGAGCATTCCTGACAGGCTCCAACTCCCAATTCTGCATCAGGCCAACATACTGGGTAATATGTGAGGTTCAGGGTTCTCCCAGGACTAGGCTTCCTGCAACCCTTCCTCTCCTACCACAGTAATTTAACTCAGTTTTGGGATTAGGGAGGAATGAATTTTTTATTTCCTTCTCCTCCTCCCTGCAAAGGGTATCCTCCTTTGAATTTTAACAGATATTAAATCAATGCAGACATCCTGTTAGACCTTCAAACTTCTCAAAACAGTTGCTACCTGTGCTTTAAACCAGCATTCAGATATACATACAAGGCCCTACCTGGGCTGGGTGCTAAAGCACACACTATTGAAATGAAGACTCAAAACCTCTGATCATAGAGGCCGGTTAGGAACTCTTTACCTCAGTCTGACGACCCAGCCCAGCACATCGGTTCTATTAAGTCCATTTTCAGAATGGATAGAAAAACAGCAGTGTCAAGGCACCTGGATTATATCAAAGATGCCTCAAGTTCAGGGACTTCTGAGAACCTGAATAAAGCTGATATGGATCAACCCCTTTTGGAGCAGCTCTTTCCTTAGAGCACTAAAGTAGAAAGACCAACCCATATCCTTAGCTGGGTTGCAAACCAAGCAACCTGAGGGGCAGATGAATGGGCAAAGGTTTTCGTATCTGGGTGCCTCCACAGTGAATAAGAACACTGGTTAGACATCTGAATCACTACAGGGGAAAACAAAAAACTTTCTCTATTGCTAGCAATTTGTTCCATCAAGAAAGCAAGAAAATTGAAGATTTAATTAACACTTCTAAGAAAGTATTTGGTATTTACACTTGTTTATTACCTAAAAGCAAATTTTATGAGGTCTCAGGAAGTCTTGGCAAAAATTATGCTTCAAAAGATTCTTTTTGAACTCTGGCTAATAACATTCATTTTGGCAAACAACCTTATTTTGCTGCTACTTATACTGCAGAGTATTAAAAATTATTTTTCCTTAGAAAACTATAATTCAGGAGTCAAGCCTGACAGCAAGAAGAAATGGAGTGGAGTACTGTTAATTTTTCAAAGTTGATCCTGAAGCCATCAGGGATGGGTTATTTTTCAATAAGGGAGAAAATACAGAAATTGGAATAGATCTTTTTCTTAATTAAGGGAAAGAAAGAGGAAGAAGGGCTATTGATTTATTTTTTAAAAAAGGAACACAAAGAACTTCAGTTGGTTTAGGTCTTTGTGTATGCATTTGGTTTCTACTTCCTAACTGCACAGCCTTTGTTACAACATACTTGTGCCAAATTCCACATACAGATCCTGATTTACATAGCTCTCCTCTATGTCAAAAAAGAAATCAGGGCTAACTCTTGTGGGGGAGGATGTGAAGAAAGACTGGAGAATATTCTAGCTGATGAAAAGTGCTTTAAAATCCTTTCTCAAATCCCCAAAACTGCCTTTCTAAAAGCACTCTCTAACACTGTGATTTTGATATCCATTTTCAGCACACCTTGACTTCCAGAGTATGGAACAGAAAGAGAATTTAGTGTTTTTTTTCCTAGTTTTAAAAGGAGAATCTGAAACTGTGTATTATATTATTATTATACTTTAATATGGAGCAAAATCAGGAGTGTGGAGTCTTATAGCAAAGCTAGAGAGAGAATATGTGTGAAAAGGTGTTGTTGAATAAGGCAGCAAATTACAATTTTTGTAAAACAGGTTTATATATTAATAAAGAACTGGGGCAAAGGGAATTATACAAGCAAAAAAGATGGGTAAAAAAAGTAACGATGAACAGTTATGCATATACACACACACCACCCCCCAAAATTTTAGATTATGAAATCCAAGAATCCTAGTCCATAATTCATGTAAATGTGTTGCTGTGGAACTTATTTTTACTTCTCTCCATAAATGCATTGTTAACACAAAGAATAATATTCTTAGTTTATGGACTATAGTTAAGGGACATTTTAGGAGTTGACTTTTCCTTCAAAAATAAAAATAAAAACTGAAGAAGGTGTAAATCCCTCTTACTTCCCTTGTGCAGGTCTTCGATTTCACCCTGCCTTTTTCCAAACAGAAAACAGTAAGAGGGTGCAGACAGCTGTAACCTAGAGTGAAGGATTTAGTGAGCTGTCAATTTCTTGCAGAATTCTTCTTTACTGGTACTGCTGTTCTCTATGTATTATTAATCTATTTATATTTAACTCCAGCTATTAGTTTGCCTCTTCCAGCCACTGAGCCATTTGCAAAAGAGAAGAGAGAGAGACAAGGGTTGCTATTATTAGGCATCCTTGTGTGTGTGATGAAAGTGGAGACAATTAAATAATACCATTTTGCTTCTTTGAAAATGACAGAGATTGTTTGGGGTGGACAACTCAGGGCTGGTTAACATAACCTTTCCCCTCAGAAGGCAAAACAATGGAGATACATTTCTGAAGTACTTAATTAAGCCTTTAGCAATGAGTGTGGGAAAATTACAGACCCATAAAAATCCTCCAGTTCTAGGCAAGAGTAAATTTTCTCTGCAGCATTCTGTCACTGCTCATTTACTGCATCATTTTGACATCTCATATTTCCACAAGGTTTTTATATAATCTATAAACAGGGACAGAAAGGTGAAGAATAGAGAGAATGAGGACAAAGTCTGGATCTCCTACGCTGTTACTTCCTTTCAGTTTTCCATTAAAGGGTGAGGCTGAAGGGTAGCATTTTAAGATGATTTCATTAAAAGGCTGAGACATTAATAATCGACACAGCAAGAAGAAAGGTGTGAAAAACTGCCACCGCTTGCTCACTCTTCCAAAGGATGAGTGTAATTCAGTCATAATGTAAGCTCTTTAATGTTCCTCCCCCAAACCTTTTTCGATCAGGAAAGCCTGGAATCTGCAGGCAAGAAAGAGAATCATGTTAGGACTCAAAACAGGCAAAGTTCAAACGCTAATAGCCTTTAAAATGTTTTCCTTATTTTTTGTTTCTGTATATTATTAGGCTGTTGTTCTTAAAAGAACTCTCTTTTTGAGGTTTTACTCAGAAAATCACAGCAGATTAAGTAATAAAAATAAATTCTACTAAAATGAAAAACATTTGCCAAGCAATTGGTGATAGTGTCATCTAAATCAGACAGGATGAAGGTGAAACTCACAATACTCACCTGCTGGACTTTCATATGAATTATTTGCATTGTGATAGACTATGGATATGTACCTTTGCAGTCTCAAGCAAATTATTTCCTATTATTTTATAATGTAACTTTATTCCTGGATTCTTCTTGTTTCTAAGACCCTTATTTTCCCTTGATCTGAGTTTTTCTTCTGTATTTAAGAAGACAGAAGAAAGTCAGTTGGTTGGGCCTGCAAAGTACTCCCCCGTCACCCCAACTTCTTAAAAAAAAAACTAAAAAATGAATTTGGAAGTTAATTTCAGATCAATCAAACCTTTCCACAAATTCAAGAAATCATTTTATCAAAAAAGATAGATACAGACCTGATTACCATCCCTTAAAAAGTATCTCTTCTCTATGACCTGTTAGAAACAAAGATATCAAGGGCTTAGCATGTATACCTTGAAAAAGCAGTAAGCACGCTGACCACCGATGGCACTGAAAGGAGTACACCCAAGTGAAGAGTCGTTTCAGTAGCAACAGACATCTGCTACACCGAGTTAAGTCTAGTGCTAGTGGGGTCAGGATTGTGGAAGTGTTTTTATAAAGACCTGTCTCTAGTTCCAGAAAACATTAACGTTAGGTCAAAAAATAAATGAACAAACAAAAATGACTAAATAACGAGAGAAAATGACATGAGATCTCATGCAATTCCCAGTGTAAATCTGGAAATTTGGCTGCAAATTTGGTTCAAAACTCTCTAGCAGTCAGCCCCAAAAGACACCAGACAGAATCCATAAGATAATTCACTCTGCTGTATGGCAGAAGCCAACACAACAGTCTAAAGTAATATCCTCCAATTAAAAAACAAATTAAAAAAAAAAGCAAAGAATTTTTGCTACTACAATAGCACAACTATTCTTTAAAGAGGTCTCTGTCTGTATAACGTAGTCAACTGCCGTATCCCTCCAGTAACCACAGTTGTAAATTCTGTAGGTCCTTAATGGAGACAGATGACACAATATCAAAATCGGTCAATTAACTTCTTATGGACTTAATCTGCACCCTTAATTCATTAGTTTCAGAACTGTTTGTATTTGGTCAGTGGGAGAAATAAGGCAAAATCCATCACTATTACTGAAAAGAAGCCTTCAAAACATACGCCTTTATATAATGAATTTAAGAGTACTACATGTCTACATGATGAACACTTGAGAAACTGCAATGTCACCAGAGACAGTATTATTTTCTTTACACAGAGCTGTAGTGATTAAGAAAAGTTCAGCAGATTAGAACACAGATTATTTGGAGATTAAGAGATTAGAGTCTAGAATTATGAAGCTAGGAATTTCTTCTGAATAAAGCAGAGTGTCTTCTTCCAGGCCTGTACCAGCTTGCTCCCACTGGCCTGACAGCCATCTCACCTGGATTCTTTTTATCTTCAAGACTATGGCTCAGTTACTTTTAGCCACAAGAGACTTAGGGTAAGGTTGCATTCATTGGCCTCAAAGACAGAAAAGCTGGTTAGTGATTAGTATACATCTAAAATACTTGACCCTACAAAAACTATGACAGAACTGATTCTCTTTCTTCTCTCCAGGGTAGGACAGGAAAATTCTATTACTCTAGAGTGGAGAGGAATTACTACTAGTGAAGGAAGTGTGGAAAAGGATTAGATACCCTCTTGGAAAAGAAATCCTGTAAATTCTGGAAGATAAGATGCAGAGAAAACTGGGTTAAATTTAGCTGCCAGGTTCCTTGCTTTCAGCCAACCACCGCAATCTGGAGGTCTGGACAACCTCTTAATCCACCTACCTTTTGTTGTGATTTAGGAAATCAAGAGAGAAGTTACTTTTCCCTTTTGCTCACAATTTCCTGCCCTCAACTTGTGTTATTATTCTATCAAACCTTGCTCTCTTCTTAAAATCAACCAAGTTCCCTCTAATATCTTTCTTTTAAGTAAAGCTTTGCCTGACAACTTGAATCACACTGGCCTATAATCCATTGTTTCTCTGGGATATAACTTATCACATTTTATTAATTTTAAAATTAATAAATGATTTAAGCAACTTCCCTGGAGGCACAGAGGTTAAGACTCTGTGCTTCCACTGCAGGGGGCATGGGTTCGATCCCTGGTGGGGGAACTAAGATCCCACACACCATGAGGTATGGCCAGAGAGTAGAAAAAAAATTTTTTTTAAGTAAAAAATAAAATTAACAAATTATTTAAATTTAAGACAATATATTGTGGGATCTTTCCATGTCAGACACAGATCTATGAATATAAGATGTTCCGAGGGGACACAGATGGTATATGCTGGTCACTCAGTTGTGTCTTGACTCTTGATTCCATGGACTCTAGCCCACCAGGCTCCTTTGTCCACAGAATTCTCTAGGCAAGAATACTGGAGTGGGTAGCCATTCCCTTCTCCAGGAGAATCTTCCCAACCCAGGGATTGGGCCTGGGTCTCCTGCATTGGCAGGTGGATTCTTTACTGTCTGAGTCACCATGGTGGTCATGGATCTAAACCAAATAGGAGCTCATATGTTTTAACTGTGAAAACAATGTGGAAAGAAAATTTGGTTCCTTGTAGTGCTTCCTACCATTTTTTTTCAGTCATGGCACATTTAGAGAATACTAATATGTGTGTGTGACATGGGGTAAATGGCAGAGCCAGCCCAGGGGCCTTGGCTGCTCTGAGAATGGAAGGGATCACCATCTCAGTACACCTGTACCTTTTCTGCCACACACCAGTTGGGAGCTTATACAATGAAGCAAAAATTTCCCAGTGGTCCAATTTTAAACAGGGATGAGCTGTGGGGCCTATCTCATGTTGACCTATTAGACAAAAGAGCCAAATATTTAGATCTCTAAATAGCTAAAAGAAAAAAGACTCATAAGACAGAGCTATGAGGAGGGAAGTTTTTTTCTTGGGAGATTTACTTATAAAAGGAAATATAATACAGAAATTAATCTTTTTTCAATAATAATATAGAAATACATCCTATTTCACTTTACTGCACAATGTCAACATTGGGTGAACAGTTTACCTTGGTCAATATTATATACAATGCAGAGACATGGCCTTGTGAAGGAAAGACAAACAGTGCTCTAATTTACCAGTATGCTGAATCATTCTACATTTTCATTCCAGTTCAGGACAATAAGATGATGCTGGTAAGAGTCAATAACTGGAATGCAAAGGTTTCTGATAGGGAAAATTAGGGAATCAAGATGATGACATAGCCTTAAAAGTAATAGTAACATTTATGTGGGAGAATATCAGTAGCTGGGTGAGCAAAATAACTCAGGACTTTAAGTAGAATCTCCTCAGTTTAGTGCATTTTATGGGGGCTTCGGGGTAGTGAATGAGTACAAAAAGAGCTAGAAAATATGCCAACATAAACTGTTTTAAGGAGGGAATTAGGTAACTTTAAAAAAAACTATTTGAATTTGGTAGGTTTCATCCTTTGCTTAGAGAACACTGGGGATAGAATAAACACATCAGCAGGTCTTGAGCAATTATACAAACAGATAAGAGAGCTCAAAACAAGTATTATTCAAGCTGTGACGTGCAGGATGAAGGAATAAAAAGACAAAGCATTCTGCAAAGAATTTAAACTCTCATGGTACATAAATTAAGTTTAAAAATAACTTAATTGAAGCCATTACCTTATCAAAAAACCTACTGAGCTTGACAGCATTGGAAGAACCTGCAGCTAAGTACCGTGGATTTGTGCAATCCTAGGAGATAAAACATAAGATCCACAATTAAATGTTAGGAAACATAAGCTTTTTGTTAGTCATTACTGTTCCTCTTGCACATTTCTATAATAAAATATTAGGCATCATACTCATAAAATATTCAAGTAATTTTTCAAATTATGATACACAGAGCAAAAGGAAAGTGCTAAAGGAAGACAAGGCCACTTACTCTTTGTTATTTAGGCAATTTTAGAGGACACTGACCAATGTATTCATCATCAAATAACTTCATAATGGAAGACAGGATTGGTAATGTCTTACTAACAACAAAACTAAGATACTACTTACGTGACTTACCTGTATTTACCTTGAAAAGCAGAAACAGAGCTATCAAAAATAAATAACACTTCACTATTTAATACTAGTTATTTACCAGTACTCATCTAACTTAAGTACTCTGAAGTTCTTGGGAAGAGTAGGAAGCATGAAAATAAGGAGTAAAGGAGTAACAGGAGAAAAAAACAGACAGAGCAGTTGCTGGGGCTCCTCACTCACCGAATACAGGCGCCACATCCGTGGTGGGCCGTAAAGATAACAGTAAACAAGAGATATACTGTGATAGTAACAAACAACAGATAATAAGTTTATTTTAAAATACCATTATTATTTTTAATAGTAATTAAATAAGAAACAACAGACATTACCAGAATAAAGAAGAGAAAATGGGGCTCTGAAAAGACAAAATAATCTGAAATAGTATAATGATAGTACATTCCAATGATTAGTAAAGATCTTAAATGGTTTACTATCCTTTTCCTGGAAATCCAATGTTGAATTGCCTTCACTTGTCAATAATGACTTGCCACCTCAAGAGACTGACTATGATTTTTACCTCAAATGCCACTTAAAACCCAACCATGGGGATATGATACAGGCTTCTTTGCCAGGACAGTATTTAATTTTTCAGTTATAAATCATCTGTGTTCCTTGGGACCTAATTATTGTTGGATTTATTCTGACTGTAATTTATTTGTAATTTATTCTGATAAATACCCACATGATTCCTTTCCAATATATTTTATAACAATCATCTATTTTACCAATATACAACATTTAAAGGCTCACGTTTTAAATTTTGGCTAGAAGCTAAAATACATTTTCCAAAACCTCAAAAGAAAAAAAGAGACTACAATAACTTTTCAAAGATTGTAGAGTAAAAGAAAAATCAGAGGTCTCAGAAGCCAGTAGGCTCTGAACCTGAGTATCTATCCCAGTATCTCTAGATTGTGTGACACTGGTTAGGTTACAAAACCTTTAGAGTTAAGCTTACTAATTTGTGAAATGGGGATAGCAATACTCATCTCATAGGATTTTTGTGAAAATTAAAGGAGATAATGCATGTCCAGGACTTCCCTGGTGGCTCAGATGGTAAAGCATCTGCCTACAATGCAGGAGACCCAGGTTCGATCCCTGGGTTGGGAAGATCCCCTGGAGAAGGAAATGGCAACCCACCCCAGTACTCTTGCCTGGAAAAATCCCATGGATGGAGGAATGTGGTAGGCTACAGTCCATGGGGTCGCAAAGAGTCGGACACAACTGAGCGACTTCAATTTCTTTCACTTTCTTAATGCATCTCCGGCACATAGCAGGTACTGAAATACTAGTTTCCTTCTTTCTTCATTCCAAGAAAATGCCATCAGATTGAATTTTTAGACACAAAAGCACTTAACATAATAAAAGATAATTCTATATATGGATTAAATAGACTGAAATATTGTGTAATACACTGTATTTGAAATAATGTTTGAACATTTATATAGTAGCTGGGGCGTATAAAAGACAAACCTTAAGTAGATATGTTTTACAAAACGGATATTGGTTACATAATCGTCAGACTGTTAAAAAGACTTCAGACGATTCCACATACAGCTAAAGTACTAAATAAAAAAATTAAATCAAACAAAAAACAAAACCTCTCCAAAACTTACTTCAACAATTTCAAGTTGACCAGGCTAGAGAAATCCTATAATTTTAGGATGAGAATTTTTGATCTCAAAGAACTATAAACTATCTGCTATTGATCATGACTGAGGGCAAAGCCTGAAAACTAATAGCTCTAAATGCTTGCCTAAGCTTGAGAAAGAAATCTTAACTAGGGAAGATGCTTCAGAATGATCACTTTGAAGTAAACACATAACAGAGAAAAATTTGTGCTAGACATGATAAGCCTGGTGGTGATTTAGTTGCTAAGTCATGTCCAACTCTTGCTACCATGGACTGTATCCTGCCAGGCTCCTCTGTCCATGGGCTTCTCCAGGCAAGAATACCGGAGTGGGTTGCCATATTCTTCTCCAGGGGATCTTCCCAACCCAGGAATCAAATCTGGGTCTCCTGCATTGCAGGCAGATTCTTTTCCGACTGAGCTATGAGGGAAGCCCACAACAAGCCTAGCAGGATTTAAAACAATAAATAATCGCCTCCCTGTTTATAATTTAAACAATTTGCCTTCCCCCACCCCAAACACAAGATAGCTTTGAGTCTATCTTTGAGGTAGACAATTATGTTAATTCTTACTGTTTAATAATGTTAAGTAAATTCATATAGGAACCAAAGACGTTAACATTAATACTGTTCAAATCAGTTTTTACTTGAGACTTTATATTTACTTGCTGAGTCTTTTTGACTGCTATCTCTTTTTGAAAAGCTTATCTAACTTTCCTCCTCATTTTTTTCTTCGCTGCATCCTCAAGACCCTCTTGCTGTTTCTTCTGTGCTCTGGAAAGTGTACGCTGATTGAAGGCTTTAAGTATGTTGTATGTGAACACTGTGGAGACCACGTGTGCCAAAGTACCACTATTTGAGTACCTTTACATCTTGTTAACAATTAAAGATGGCCCTGCCTTTGCAAGTAAAACAGGAAAAGCATATAGCTAGGTGATTGTCATAAACTCACAGCTACTGAAACAGATACATTCTAAAATACATTAAAAGTAATTGCTGGAACAAATTAAGCATATTGAATGGCAATTTTCCCTTTGGAAACAATGTTCAAAAAAGTAACCTCAGCACTTCTTCAAGAAAGATATTATATATTCTATGTAATAGGAATTCTTTGGACTATGATGGTGACTACCTGGGACATAATGCTGACAGCTGAGGAAAAAAAAGCACCTCCACTGCAAAGCAGATTGTTTAAAAAAACAAAACAAAACAGTGGAATGTCAGGCAGAAGCTAACTCAGTTATGGCGGGTAGAGGTGGGGTTGAACCTAGCAGCGTTCACCAATGTTGAACCACAGAAAAAGGGCATCAGAATAACCTGAGTCATTCGTTAAAATTACAGAGTCCTGGTCCTTCTGTCACACCTTATGAATAAAAAGCTCCAGTTGTAGGGCACTTATTCAAAAATTTTCACAAATACTGTTGGTAATAAGAATATGCAGTCAGGTTTGGGTACTTGGTGATCTAGATGATTTCTAATAATTCTTTCAGATCCAAGATTCTAAATGTTAGCTGAAGGATAATTAAGTGGAAAATAGGTTTAGTTGCAGAGCACAGGCTCTGGAGTTAGAGCACCTGGTTCCACCTGTGTAACCTTGGCTTCGTTACCCCTCTCTGCTTCTAGTCTTCATTTTTATTTTTTTTAATTCATTAATTTATCTATTTTACTTTACAATATGTATTGCTTTTGCCATACATTGACTTGAATCCACCATGAGTGTACATGTGCTCCCCATCCTGAACCCTCCTCCCACCCGCCTCCCCATCCCATTCCTCTGGGTCATCCCAGTGCACCAGCCCCGAGCACCCCTGTATCATGCACCGAACCTAGACTGGTGATTTGTTTCACATATGATAATTTACATGTTTCAATGCCATTCTCCCATATCATTCCGCCCTCGCCCTCTCCCACAGAGTCCAAAAGACTGTTCAACACATCTGTGTCTCTTTTGCTGTCTCACATATAGGGTTATCATTACCTTCTTTCTTCATTTTTAAAATGGAGATACGTATAGTACCTATCTTCTAGGGTTGATGCGACAATGATGCATGTGAGACAATGTACATAAAGTACTAAAACAGTGTGCCTGGCACCAATAAGTGCTTCATTAATGCTAGCCCTTAGTTGTATTAAACCAGCACCACCATGGCTGAAATACCAGTACACTGATATATTGCAGAAATCCTACTTGTGAACAATGACATATAAACCATGACTGAAACTGCTGGCCAGGATCATTCCCTCAGCAACACTAACTGGCTTATATGAGAACTTTCCTAGGCTTTTTAAAGTCTAGTTTTAATTGACCTAAATATCTCAAGAAGGGACTCAGTTCATGGTATAAATACATATAAGTATATATAAACTAATTCTTATGAAGCACTCCTAGTTTACAGTTTGTAACTTTCTCATTTGTATGTTTGTTTTCCCTTTAAGGTAAACTCTCTAGTTTAAGAAGCTAAGAGGCTTTTCTAAAGCAAGAATAAACAACGCACAGTATCAGTGACCACTCTTTGTCATCTTAATTATTTTGATTTTGGTGTGATTTTTGAAGATCTTTTCAAGAAAAAGCCTGTGATTTACATTACAACAAAGTCTGAACATTGCAACAGATCAGCACACAAGGAGGCTGTGCCCATCTCATAATCTGTATGGCTCCAGTCTTCACTACTGTTTGGACTAAAACCCAAATGCCTGATTCAAATATAAAGCTTCTTCTGTGAATATGTAATTTGTGAAGTCTTTGGTTTTGCCTTTTCCTGATAATAAAACAAGCATGCATTAGTGAAAATACACACCAAATTGATCTCTTCTGCATTGAAATCCTCAGCCAGGAAAGCAGTCCTAGTTAAAACTTCATGACGCTTGTTTTCATGAATCTGATCCAGTTTAGTCCCTATTACCAACAATGGGATTTGGTTATCAGCAAACTGTTCCCGGTCATAATCCCTGTGATAAATAATAATGAAGAGGTGAATAGAATTTACCTTTTCTGATGTAGATGTGTAATATTTAAATGTAACTAGCTTATACTATTTTACATATACTTCACTAACTCTTGCTCACCCATCACCTGTAAACCTACTTTTCTCCCAATTTCTTACACATGCCTGTTCATCTTTTAGTCCGTCTTCGCCATCTTTCAAGTTCCAACTATTAATTCAACTACTCAAAATTTGTCCCTGGGTCTTCTGGACTACTTGAATAAATTGAGAGCCCACTAGGTATATGAAAGTAGGCTGATTGACTTCCCCTAAAACTCTGTCTTCTAAGGCTAACAGCTCAGAAATTTTTCTGAGGAGATATAGACAGTGGATTCAAACCTCAGTGGACAGAAAACCCAGGAACCTAGCACGCAGTCAAGCCTTTGGCAGAGGGGAATGCCAAGCTTCTGGGTACCTTCTGGAGTACACATAAGCTTTACATCCACCATACTTATTTCTGCCTGTGAATAGCAAAGAAAAATAGATCATTTCAGGAAAATAAGAAATAGGAATGCTGAAGGCCAGAATAAATCAACCATAGCTGATGCTACTGCCTGGGGAAAGATGGATTCAACAAATGGAAAGGGAAAGAAACAGGAAACAGTTTAAATGTAAAATTAGTAAAAGGAAAGAATTAAGCAACAAATAGCTGTCTGCCCTGACATGAGAGCCATGGAGACAAAGAACAGGCAGTAAGAATCACTTGGGGTTGGTGGCCCTGGGTCACTCTATTGCTGAAAGGAACATAGAGCCCAATGTTATTCAGTTAATACAAATTCTACTCACGTATGAGAAATAAAACAGATTTTGATTTCTGACATAGCTCAGTTTATAACAGTCAGCAAAGTCTGGTTGCAACACCTTATGTCAATAAATCAATATTGCATAACCCAACAAATACAAACCAGGTGAACACAGCTTTTTCCTTCTTTTGGCATTACTTTCCTTTCTCTTTAAATAATCTAAATCTTGTGTATATGTGTCTATAAAATTACCAAATCTCTTTGCTCTTCACAATAATCTTACAGAGCCTCAGTTACTGTTCAGCCTTGGAGCTCAATTGTTTTGAACTATTTTACCTCCCATTTCATAAAAATGTTATCATTCTAATTACTGCATCAAAACCAATAACAGTTTGAGTTCAAGGCTTTTGTTTCTTCTTACCAACATCAATGCTGACTTAGGAGACATGGTCCAAAACTGAAAATTGCTTTATTAGAGAATAAAGTTCTTAAAAAAAAATAAGTATATGTTTATTTATTTGGTTGTACCAAGTTTTAGTTGCAGTGTGTGAATTCTTAGTTGAGGCATGTAGGATCTAGTTCCCTGACCAGGGATTGAACCTTGGGTTCCCTGCATTGGGAGTGTGAAGTCTTAGCTACTAGACTGCCAGGGAAGTCCCGAGAATAAAGCTTTGAAAGTGTCCTCCTTTAGGACTCCCCTCCCCATACTCTACCTTTGGCTTACATACAAATTTTTGTATGTATTTTAACAAACATCATCTTCGACACATATATTATTTTGTCACTTGCAGTCTTTCATAATCTTTTGCAAGTTAACATACATATATTTATTGTATATATGTAACATAACATATATGTTACATGAAATATATATATAAATATATACACACAATCTGTTCTCTCATTTCTTGTTTTAGCTTTCCTTTTCGCTCATTTTCTTTCATTAAATCTTATATCCAATTTGAAATTTGGTATGGAAATCCTTTTTTTCTTTTCAAATCATTAGGTAAAAAACAAATTAGGAATTTTATCATGAATGGATAAGCCTGATAATAACATCAAAAGAGGCAGATAACCAGGTTTTCATATTATACGTACAATACCACTTTGGCAAAAACAAAAAACCTTGCATCTTTCAGACTACTGTATTTATCTACCATTCTAGAGAAGATAAGAATTCAGAAAAACAAATAATTTGGAATGTGACACTCAGATACAAAAGTCATCCTCAACTAAACTCTCACAACATTATAACTAATTCAAAGTGAATCACGGATCTAGAAGGAAACCAAAAACTATAAAACTTCTAAAAGAAACACAGATTAGGCAAACAGTTGTTATACATGATTCTCAAAACACAATACATAAAGGAAAAAAAGAGAAACTAGACTTCACCAAAATGAAAAACTATTGTTTTGTGAGAGATACTGCTAAGAGAATGAAAAGACAAACTACAGACTGGGAGAAAATATTTGTTAATCAAACATCTTACAAAATGGTTATTTTGGAAGGTACATTCTTGTGACTGCTATAGCATTTCAAACCAATTGTGAAGTAATTTGGGCTTACCCATTTGTTACCAAGACTCCAGTTGGCACCAAATCCCTATTTAGAGCTTCCAATGACCAACGGTACAAGTTTTGGGATGACTTCTTATTTGTTAAGTCATGCACTAAAATAATACCTAAAATAATCAGAAAATAATGTCAATATTTTAACATTTCCTCTTCATTTCACAAGTGACAAAGCATTAGACTGCTTAATGAATGCATTCTGGTATGGCTAACAAACTCAAACATGATTATTTAAAAATTTCCTCTGTAAGTTCTTGCAAATAATTATTCACAAGTAATTAACTAAATTTTTTTCCTTGTCAGTTATATAACTTAAAAAAAAATTCTACAAGAGCTGACAAAAATTTCATTAAGCTCTTAGAATGTCTTTTTTTTCCTTCATTAAACACTTAATGAGTGCCTACTCTGCCTGGTCCTAATTAAAGAACTACTTCATCAATAAAAAGAATCAAAATTACTGTAAGTATAGAAGAAATTATATTCATTCAAAAAGATTATTTTTCTACACTATGCATCTGTCATAGACACCATACATATACCTGTTATTTACACTCATTAAAATATTTAATAATAAAAATTTATTTAAGTGGTATTGATTTAATTTAATACAAACTTCTATTCTTTAGCTGACAAGATGTTTTCTTGAAGGTTACCTGGACCTAATCAACTTAAAAGTCTAATCATTTAGTTCTCTGAATTAATGCCTAGCTATGTAAGCTTGCTCAATCTGTAAGAGATTTAGTTAAAACACAGCAAAAGAAATATGCCACAAGGAGACAGGAAAAGATAGTTAAGAAGTATAAACAGTAGAAAATAGATGGACTTTCTGGAGACTGAGGAAAACTGTAAAATATAATGAGGTTGAGAAGTACAATTAAATAGAATCAGCTAAGACCCTAGACAGAAAGGCAAAGCAGGTAATTATGATACAATATATACAATAGAGGAAATGTTTTAATGCCGAGTGAAATTTAGAGTCAAGAGACTATATGTTTTTAAACAAACCCCAACTCTTTTTATATTACCCAGATTCTACTGTGAAGAGAGAATGTGAAACTGATGATTCTTCCATCTTCAAGATGTAAGATATGTAAATATGAAAAAAGAAGGGCATGAGAGTTAGAATTATTTGGCTCCTCTAGGTTTTACAGACACTGTACAACTAAGGCGCTTGCGCAAGTTATAGTTGACTAGTTCCAGGTGGCTCAAGTTAAATCTGCATCTCTCCTGGCATCTGGAACAAATAGAGATCTGACACTGGCCCCTCGGTCCAACTGCATTCACTCTACCTTCCTCAATGAGGGGCTCTAATACGCATTAAGGAAACAGGGACAGACTTAAAAAGGAATCAAGAGCTACTGTTAAAAATCATAGCTAATATTTATTCAGTATTTATGTACTACATATTGTGCTTTCCATGTGTCATCTAATTTGATTTTCAGAACAGTTCTATGAAATAAGAATTATTATCTTTATTTTACACATGTGGAAATAGGCTCAGAGAGGCTGGTAAGTGGGACAGCCAGGATTTGAAATCAAGTAATCTGACAGTAAAAGACTGGAGGAAAGCAGAATAAAGTCACTTCAGGGCAAAGGAATGGCAGATACTTTCTCCTCTCCTTATTTCCTAGGTATAAATACCAACATATGAGTGGGTTTGGCTGGGGGAGTGAAAAATTACAAAGGCCTAAATGAGTTATTAGACGTTTTGAGGATCTCTATTTATGGCTTTTGAGTTTTTAAGGGCACTGAGCACCCTTTTCCTTATGTCCCTTCTTTCATTTGGGCTGAGAGTCCATGCTTTGTAGATTATGAGCTAGAAAGGACACAGTGAGGCCCAAAGGAAAGAAGTAAGGGTGACAGCTGATCAGAATATGTGCTAAATCTTTAAAAACAGAAAGCGAGGGACACTTTACAAGTCTCCTTTAGGGATTATCAGCCTCAATCATCAAGTGGGAAGAGTTAGGATATTGAGAGAAGAAAGTTATTGCTAAGAACAGACTGTATATTTGAATAGAATGATCCTTATGCTCTGTTTCTTAGAAAACTAAGGATGGTAGATTGAGTAAAGAACCTTATGTGCTTCTAACAAGAGAAATCTTCCAGAGGTAGGCTCAAAGAACTCAGAAACTGATTTTTCTCTTTTTTTAAAAATTAAAGTATCATTGATACTTTGTTATCAATGTTATAACAATGTTATCAATCAATACTGTGTTAGTTTCAAATGGACAGCAAAGTGATTCAGATATATTTATACATATATACATATATATATGAAATTCTTTTCCATTATAGGGTTATTACAAGATATTGAATATAGTTTTCTGTGCTATACAGTGGGACCTTATTATTTATCTATTTTATACGTAGTATTTGTATCTGCTAATCCCAAACTTATAATTTATCCCTCCCCACCTTTCTCTTTGGTAATCATAATTTTGTTTTCTGTGTCTGTGATTTCCCTATTAAGATTTTTCTTAACAGGGATTATTTTTTAAGAAGCAGAAATGTATCTCAGTCTTACCTGTAAAACTAACACAGCGTATATGAAATTACTTCAATAATATTCAAGGAAGATACAAATCACTAATGGATAGTAGGTATAAAAAAGATAACCAAATAAATATGGATTTAGATGGATTTCTTCAGTACTTACTAAGTTTACAACTCAGAATTCCATGAAGTTTCTAGGGTTTGAATAGTCCTTAACTTTATTATTTATTTATAATTTTTATCCTAATTCTTTCTCAAAAAGATCAAACAGCAAAAGTGTCATTTATCCAAACTTCTCTTTGCCAAATCAGATTGATACCAATGTTGACAAGTCGTTTGACCAGTATAATAAACCAGGCCTCATTTCTTTCTCTCCTGCTCTTTAACATTAGTCACCTAACACTATACCAGTCTTATATGTTTTTTCACTTATATATTCTATTAATACATGCTATTATCATGTACTTTATCATGTATTATGATATCATATACTAATGTCACCATCTTTAACTATTTTGTTTCATTTATGAATATTTTGTTTCTTCAGTTAGATTGTGACACTTTCAGATAGAATTCTGAGTTAAATAGGACACAGGTCTGATACAACTAACACAACTCATCCTGTACTCTATAGTATGTATCCAGTGACAAGAGCCTTCTCTACTTTTTGTAGTATCTACAAAACCTTATGATATGGGAGATAAGATATTGAAAGAGGAATATAAGTAATGAAGATGGTACTGAATAATTACAATGCTTACCTATTATTGAATGAGATCTAAGTATAGTATAAATGAAGTCCAATTAATAACTAAGCATCTATCAGAAAGGAAGGGTAAGATGCTAAATCTGTTGGTATATCAATCAAAGAGCTGAAATTATATTTCACAGTAAAAAAAAAAGGTAAAAACTGAATTTAAAAAAGATTAAAAAAAAAAAAAAACAACCACAGGTAAATCACAGGTGCCTATAGTTCAGTTCCTTGACACAGAGTAGGCACTCTATGAACTGCAATCATGTCCTATTACATACTTCTATCTGGAAGTCTGTTCCAGGTATTTGTACGTAACTGGATGAAATTTCTGCACCCCTGAAAACATCCTTAGGTAGCTTTTATAATTACATAGGCCTCTCTCTAAGGAGCAGACAAAAGAAATCTCAGTATCTCTGTGACATCTGGCTTAGACCATGAGACTCCTAATGGTATATACTCAGTTGACTAAAGCAAAAGCAAGCACTCCCAGGGGACAGTGTTTTGAAAGTTCCATGTTTTATGTCAAGTACCTAAAATACAATTTTATGTCTCAATATTTAGTTTATGACAATAATGTAAACAGAAGTACTTAGACAAAGCAAATATCTAATGTTCTGAAATACATAGTCAGAATCTAGAAAACACAAACTGGAATGTGTTATGCAGATTTAAGAGCTGTGAATATACTATATCTTTCTTAAACTGAGTCCAGCATTCCACATCAGATGATCTGAGACCACTAAAATATGGTAAAAATAAAAAAAGCTTTACCATTTACAGAGTTGTAGAATACTGCTCTTGTGCTTTTCACACTGCTGGCACTGCCCACAGAGCCTCCAACATCCCATAATTCTATATAGTAGGTCTTCTCTTCTGGAGTTCCTTCTTTGTAGTCATGAACCTAACAAATCAATCCATCAGAATAATTATTATAGCCACTAAGAAAACTGGTAAGCCTCCTCATTCCAGCTTAAAGCACTGGACCTTTCCATATCAGCAGCTTGCCCCCTGACTCTGATTACCACCTCCCGTCTTTTCAGCTTCTCTCTACTACATCAACTCTAATAATAATCTCCGACCCCAAAGGTTCCTATAGCTCATTGTTCCTAACATCTTCCGAAGTTCTCCCTTCCACTTCCAAATCTTCACTTCCTTCCTAACAAAGCAAAAATTCCACGATTTGTCATTTTTGTCACTCCTACCTCACCCCCCAACATAGTATTCACCAAACAACATTTCAATCTTGATTATATCCACCTTTTCCTGTATTCCATGTCTGCAACTGAATATAATGTTCAGAAAAATATAAATTCAAGCTAACTGGATTCACTTTAAATTCCAGTCTACCTTTGAAGCTGTCCTTTAGTCAGTTCCATAGTCGATTTCTACTTTTCCTCTCCTAGATAACTATTTCACACTTACTCCTCTTTTTCAAATTTCCTATAACTCTCTCCTATCCTCAAGCACAGCTAATAAGTTTGCTTCCCCAAACAGAAGCAATCAGAAAAGAATGTCTACAACTTGCTCTTCCCTTATCTACTCTCTGCATCTGTACCCATATAATCTGCTTTCCTGGCAGCTCTTATAGATAACTGTCTGTGTTCCTAAGGCCAAATCCCCTTCTTAAGCATGAAATCCCATTTCTTCTTTCTTATCAAAGAGGTAGTTCTATCAATTCTCTTTTTCATCATCACATTTTCCCTCTCTGTTCGATAATTCCCATCATCAAACAAACATGCCATAATTTTTCCCATCTTAAAACTTGACTCATGTCTTCCCTGAGCTACCATACCACTTCTCTATTACTTTTTATAACAAAAGCCCTCCAAAGAGTTGTCTCTTCTCAACTGTCTCTGGTTCTTTTCTTTACATTCTGTTTTGAACCCATTCCTGTCATAACTTTTGACCCAATCACCCCACTGAAGTGTTCCTTATCAAGGTCACTAATAGTCTCCATATTGCTAAATCCAATGATCAATGAACAGTTTTCATCTTACTCTACTATCTGATAAAACTAATCATTCCTCTTTCAGTACTTTTTTCACTTAACTTATAGGATATCATACTGTTCTGCTTTTTACTGTCTCCATTTGGGTTGTCCTCAACTCTCTAACCTCTAATTGTTAGAGTGTTCCAAGGTTTAGTTCTTGAGTCTCTATAAACATCTGCTTTTTTGACAATATCATCTAACCTTATGATTTAAAATGTCATAAATATGTTGATGAGCTTCCCTGGTGGCTCAAATGGTAAAGAATCCACCTGCAATATACATCCGTGCTGGATCAGTCCGTTCTACCTCAGACTTATCAGTCCATATCACCAGATTACAATTAGGATGTCTAAAAGGCATCTCAAATTTTAAATATTTAAAAATTATATCCCAATCTTCCTCCCAAAACCATTCTTCTCCCATTTTCTCTGCTTCAGTAAGAGGCAATTCTAGCCTTCTAGTTACTTGAAGGACCAAAAACTTAAGATTGAATTCTTAACTTAAAACTTAACTCCTGTCATACTACATATCTGATTTGTCAGCAAATCCTGTTGCTTTTGTCTTAGAAATATACTCAAGACCCATTCATTTCTCACCATCTCTACTATTAACACCCTCAAGACCTCTACCTCTTTGCCTGAATTAATGTAATCATCTAACTGCTCTCCCCACTAGAGCCTCAGTGACTCACTTTCCCACCACTCTTCATTTGTTTTGCATATAGTAGCTAGAGTGATCATTTCAAAATGCAACTTAGGTCATATCCCCCTTCAGTTCAAAACTCTCCAATGATGTTTACTCAGAGTAAACTCTAAAATTTCTCTCTTATGGTCTAGACTTTATAAGCATTTATTGCTTGTACCATATTATTACTCAGAAATGAAATCTGATATATGGCAACTCTATCTATTAGAATATAGACAAGAACCAGATTATAACATGGTGGTTCAGGGGTGTACATCGGAATCTTTTAAGAATTTGTCTTTTCTAGAAATATACATGCCAACAAAGGCAAAAAAATAAACAAGTGGGACTGCATCAAATAAAAGAGCTTCTATACAGCAAAGGAAACAAGCAACAAAGTGAAAAAGCATCCTATGGAATGGGATAAAATATTTGCAAATCATATATTTTATGAAGGGTTAATATCCAAAATATACAAAGAAATCATACAATTCAATAGCAAAAACACCCCCAAACAACCCAATTTTAAAAATGGACAGAGTTTTTCAAAGAAGACAAATGGTCAATGAATACCTGAAAAGTTGCTCAATATCACTAATCAGAAGGGAAATGCAAATCAAAGGTATGAGACAGCACCTCCTATCTTTTAATATGGCTGTTACCAAAAAGACAAAGAGATAATGAGTGTAGGCAAGGATGTGGAAAAAAGGGAACCCTTGTGCACTGCTGATGGCAATGTAAACTGGTTCAGCCACTATGGAAACAGAATTAACATTCCTCAAAAAGTTAAAAATAGAACTACCATATAAACTAGCAATTCCACTTCTGGGTATATATCCAAAGGAAATGAAAACAGGATGCTGAAGAGATTATCTGCAATCTCATGTTCTACTTCACAACAGTCAAGACATGACAACAATTCAAGTGTCTGTTAATGGATGATGAATGAATAGAGAAGATAGGATATAAAACTGTGGGAAGCGAATATTCTTCCATTATTCAACCATGAGAAAAAAGGAAATCCTGCCATTTGCAACAACATAGTTGGATCTTGAGGGAATTATGCTAAGTGAAATAAGCCAGACTGAGAAAAAAAAAAAAATACTGCATGCTATCACTTATATGTGGAATCTGAATAAAAGGCTAAACTCATAGAAACAGAAAACAGAAAAGTGTTTGCCAGGAGTTGCAGAGGTGGGGGAAATAGGGAGAATTTGGTAAAAAGGTGTAAATTTTCAGCTCTAAAGTAATAAGGTCTGAGGATATACAATGTGGTTGAGTGTAGTTGGGAACACTCTACTGTATAACTGAAATATGCTAAGAGAGCAGAATGTAAATGTTCTCACCAAATAAATAATAAACATGTGACATGATGGATGTGCTAATTAACTGGATGGGAGGAATCCTTTCACAATGCATAAGAATATAGTATATCATCACAATAAACACTTTAAATATCTTATAATTTTGTTAATTATATCTAAACAAAGTTGAAAAAAAGTCCTTAAGAAAAAAAAAGAAATATACATGCCAGACTTACTGAATCAGTTACTTTTGGGTCCAGTCTTCAGCATGCATAATTTGAAAATTCTCCAAATGATTTTGCTATAACCCCAAGGAATTAAGAATCACTGATTTTATAGAAAGTCAGAACTATTTTGGTATCAGGAGGCCTAGACCATACTCCTTGACTGTTACTTATAATCCCTGATATCTTTGAGTCTCAGTTTCCTTGCTTATAAAATTAAAATGAAGAAGTTATATTATGTGCATCAAATGGCTCTGAAATAAAAAGTAAGACAGCTGAGTAGAATGAACTGGGAGATTGGGATTGACATACATACACTACTGATACTATGTTTAACACAGATGAGAATCTACTGTACAGCACAGGGAACTCTATTCGGTGTTCTGTGGTGACCCAAATGGGAAGGAAATCCAAAAAGAGATACATGTATACATGCAGCTTATTAACGCTGCTGTAGAGTAGAAATTGGGCTTCCCTGGTGCTCAGCTGGTAAAGAATTCACCTGCAATGCAGGAGACTCCAGTTCGATTCCTGGGTTGGGAAGATTCCCTGGAAAAGGGATAGGCTACACACTCCAGTATTCTTGGGCTTCCCTGGAGGCTCAGATGGAAGACCTGAGTTCTATCCCTGGGTCAGAAAGATCACTTGGAGGAGAGCAGGCAACTCACTTCAGCATTCTTGCCTGGAGAATCCCACAGACAGATTCCTGGCGTGCTGCAGTCTACGGGGTCGCAAAGAGTGGAAGACAACTGAGCAACTAAGTGGAGCATAGCACAGGGCAGAAACTAACAACATTGTAAGGCAGCTATACTCCAATAAAAATCAATTTTAAAAAGAGAGCTGAGTAGTTAAAATATATATCATAAAATACATGTACTATATTTCACAGAATGCTTCATACTTTTTACTTATTCATATTTTTTTTTAGATCCAAATCGCTTTGTCCAAGGAAAATTTTAAATAAATAAGATATTCTACAGATAGTCACAATGACATTAAGAGAAGACAATGATTAGAATGGCAACAAAGAGGATAGGAAACACAAATGGCAATAGCAAAATCACAGTAGCTGTGGACCACTGTGGATAACAGAAAGTAATTCTGTAGAATGTGATAAAAGTTATCACTATTTTGCAATTATATGGCATAAATAACAGATAATAAATGATCATGTTAAATCATCAATAAAAAGATCAAACTACATGAATTCTGTTTTGAAAGCAAGAAAATGTTTAATACATTTTATCAAGATTTCTAAGCATAACCACTGAAAGGAACAATATGAGCTATTATAAGGTGTTAGTTATCTGGTATCAAAAAGCTCAACACTTTGATGAAGTTCTCTTGATCCTGCCACCTTCCCTGGCTTCAAAACCAACCAGCGCTGGTTAGGTACTCCTCCTATTTGCTCCCATAACATGCTGCACAGTTCTATCATTTCACTAACCACACTGTCATTTATCTGCCAGTATCTCTTCTATTAGATTCCTAAGCTTAAGAGCAGGAACTATATTATTCAACTTTGTAAGCCTAGAACATAGCATGATACCTAGCACATATTAGATACTTGGATATACTTGGTTAAATCAAGGAAAAGATTCAGGGTGTCTCATCCTCTAAGGTTTTATTATATTCTGTTTATTATTTTACTGAATTCCAGTGCTTCTCAAGTACAGTTTTGAGAACAAACTAAATTAGA